GCCATGTTTATAAGGCTCTGGCTCAGATCGTCGATGGGCCTAAGTTCGTGGCCCTGTTGGACGCCAAACCTCTTGCTGATCAATGCATCCTCCGGTAGGTCAGCCAAACGGAATGGACCTTGTGACCATCCCTTGTCTCTCTCCTGAATGGACTTATCCCATAGTTCCTGAACAAAACTGCCATTTCCGGCAACTTCTTGTATGATCTTGTCATTGTTGTCGCTGTTAAGCGTACTCAGATCTGCTTGCATCATGAGCGCCGGGCGAACATCCGGCTCCCATCCTTCCGGGGGAAACCTTTGAGAATGTCCTCCCCGATAGCCTTGTCAGGGTATGCCGATGCACTCAACATCTCCTGGAAAAGGAGAACACGTTTGCTCCGAAGTGATTCACGGATATGCTGGGGTAAGGCATGCTTCACTGCTCTTTGCTGGGTTTCCAAGGCCTGAGCTCGTTGCATCCAGCGCTTGCACCCTGGTCTGAACGACGCAGCTGTGGGATTCCACCTGCTCTATGGTGCGCTTCAGAGGATCCGGGAGTCCCAGGTCGAGGTGACTCGGGCGGCCCACCCTACGTGCCTGTGCACAGAATTCTGAGCATGTCCAGGGAACAGAGACATAGACTTCGTGGTCCTTCGAGAGGTAGGGCTGATCAACACCTCTTGAGCTGCCGGCAGCCAGTTTGGTCGTCGACAAAGAACTGTCGCTGGATGCCAGCCCTTGCTGTCCAACAAGTTCCTGGTCCTGGACCTGAGTTGGGCCTTGAACTCAGTCACAAGCCTCTGATTTGCCTCTCGTCGAGTCGGGTTCCCCGCAGTCAAAGACGCCATCGAAGGCAAGCTGCCCCTCGACTTGACGGTTTGCTGAGGCTCTGGCAACGCTCCCTGTTTCAGCAAGACTCCCACTGTGCACTGAGCAGCCGCTCGACAAAATTCGCCTGGACGCGCGGCCTCCTCGGACCGACAGAAGACACCATGCTCATCTCTCCATGGCTCATGATCGTGTGTCTCGTCACAGTGTTGAGCAAGTACATCGAACTCCTAAGGCCATGCGCCTCTTGCGCGCGGCACCAAACACACACGCATGGCTTTCGAGCACCTTGGTATTTCCCATGCTCAGGACGCCGACCATTTCCTGGACAAACCACATCCAACTGCGGTAGTGTGACGCACATGATGCCCAAACTGCAGCACAATTGCCATACTGTCGAGCTGAAACTATAAAACTCATTTGCCGCTCGCACCCTATCCAGCTCATCGTCCCTTAAGATCGGCAAACCTTCCGGGTGTTGAGCTCCCTAAGCGGGGTTGAACTCTGGGATCCGGGCAGCTCGCGCGCCCTCGAACTGGTGCCAAAAGGTGGTGTTATCCACACCTGGTGACCTTATCCACCTGAGGACCATGCTCTGACACTGTGGTTTGAGCAGGTCAAGCTCCGCCATTGCTTTCCAAAACCGTCGTGTCATCATCCGCAACGGCGGGAGTGCTTGTCCATTGGTTCCAGCGGCGACCATCCTTTTGGCCCCAATAGTCTTTGCCTCCACCGGGCGTCTTACCGCCCTTGTCCTTGCCTTTTCCTCGTCCTTTCCCCCATTGCTCAAGTCTGGCGAACTTTTGCGACTGGGCACCTTTGCCATCCCACATGGCTTGAGAGGGCTTTGTGCCCTCAGGACCTGCGCAAGGTAGACCGGGGCGTAACCCGGGATCGCTGGATCTTGCAGTCGGCTAAATGCCTTCTGCAGCCACTTCTCGTGAACCTTGTAGCTCAGGACACCGACCAAGTCAAAAGCTAGGCTGCGCCTCTGCATCGCAGGGTACGTTGCCATTTCTGTGCCCAGTTTAGCCTGGGCGGAGGAGGCCTTCTCCGTGATGGTGAGGTTTGCTCCTGAGGTGTCAAGCGCCAGCTCTTTGGTCCCTTTTGTCTGCAGCTCCTGCTGACGAGTCGGAATTCTTGACGGGCGCAGGTACTTGATGGAGTTGTGCTCCACCATCGTGGCGATAGCATCGTACACGGAGTGGGCTGGCTCCAAGTCATTCTTGATCTCGATCCCTGCCAGTCTGTTTGCTTGACACGTCATCCTCTGATGGCGCTCGGCCCCTGGCATGTGTCGAGCGATCGACTCGGGCTTCTGTCCCACCACCGATTTTAGATGAGACAGAGCCATGGTCTGCGACTCGAAAAGCAGCCTCTTTGTCTGGGTCACCAGCGCCAAAGCTGGGTTGGCCTCCCCGACCTTGGCCAGGAGGGTCTCCACAGACGCATCCGTGAGCGGCTGCCCGGCGGGGACGCTGCGTAAGCCGCCTGGCTTACAGTCTTGATTCCTTGCGCTACGAGTTTATTGATAACCGCTTCAACCATTCCCACTCTGGGGAGCATGTTGTTTGAAGAAAGCCTCCGAATCTGCCACGCTGGCCGAACACTAGCTTCTCTACTCGGGCCCGGAGTCGCAAACTCGAGGCAAAAACTGCTCAAGCCCACCTTTGTCACTCGAAGAACATGCCTCTACAAAGCATCGCTTACACAAGACTGTACCTTCAAGAGTGTGGGTCACTCGGGATCTCTGTTAGGGACACTGCACCCGGCCTACGCAGGCGCACAACGGTTGCTTTGGTGTTTCTCACTGCCTCAAAACCGTCAGGCAAGGCCTGGCTGCCCGTCTCTTCCTCCAAGGACGTGGAACTTGCGGAGTCGGAATCGGAGCTGGGCTCGGGTGACAGGATCTCGGTCGGCACCAGGTCGGGACCCGAGCCTGCCGTGCCCTGCTCGTCCTCTGCTGCGTCATCACCCCCTCTCGCTTCGGTTTGCTGGTCTGTTTCAGCATCCACACTGACCTCTGCAGCCGCTTCTGGGCTGTGGCCATCGCCCTCGTTCTGACTCTTAGGTCCTGCTTCCGGAGCGCCGGGCCTTTGACTTGTCCTTTCCATTTGAAGCCACCTCTTGCGAAAGTTGGTGCCACACGATCAGGCTCCAGCCGTAGCTGCTGCCGGCTTCTCTTCCCGCAGATCGCCATCGCGTGCTTTCGAAATAATAACCGCTCCTGGTGGAATCTGGGAGAAAAGATCCTTCACGTATTTGCTGAAGCATTTGCTCCAGTTGACGGACTGGACCGCTCAAGGCATCGCGAGAGTAAGCCAAGTCACTCAAGGGTCCTGTGCTGTGGTGCGCCAGGAGCGTCTGCGTCTCACCGTGGACCCCGAACCGCCCAACACTGTGTGTTCAAGACAGTGCGAAGTCGTGCGCTGTCGGGTAGGGTCACTCCTCAGCAAGAGACCACGCAGCCAGTCTGACGCCTCCGCAGTATCTATGTGTCGCTTCAGGAAGGTCCCATCTGGCCCGGGCGCTGGCGAAAGCGCCCCGAGTGGTCGCCTTGTCAGGTCGATGCCCGCCAGTTGGGCGGCCCGGCGCCATTCAAGTGCCCAACAAAAATCCGGGCTGACACCCTGGATCGGTGCCATCAAGGGCATGAACATCGCTTTCTTCTTCTTAGCTTGGCTGCTTTGCTTGACATGGCGGGACCTGGCTTCAACGTAGCCAACTGGGCATCCAGCTACTTCGGTCATGTCAAAGAATAGGCTGTCGATGCACGCTACATCGCTCCAGCAGTTCCGAGCAGGTCCGAGCAAAAATCTGGAAGCACATGACTCCTGCAGCAAACCTGTCAATTGGATCAACGCCCTGCGCACGTATGGCTTCCTCCACCTGCCGAACCTCGCTGACTGTCAGGCCCCGGGCCTGATTCTGAGGCAAGTGCTCTCCCGCTGACCTGTCTGCTGCTCCAACAATCCGTGGTGATAACACAGGCTCCAAGTTGTGACACCTCAGTACGTGTTGAAACAACCGGAGAGCTTGGACGACTCCCAGCGCTGCCAGCTTGCCCTTTGGCGGGACATCACCAAACAGAGCTCTACCCGGACCCCGACCGCCCGACCCCCACTGAGGGAAGGCGACAAGGTCGACGACCATAACAGCCCGGCAGACAGAACGAACTTCTGTTGTCTTTTCCACGAGATGCGACAGTGAGCGGCGCAAGCGGGGAAACATTTGAACACAGCTTCAGTGAAGTGAGCCTCTGCACGCATGCACTGCACGCAGCTCAAGGACGCGGGTACATGTCCACAGTGCATCCTCAAATATTAAAGAAGGGCGGGAGGGCTGGGGTTTCGAAAATATTTGAGCAGCGAAGCACTTCAGCATGCAAGAACAGCATACTGAAAAAATAGGAAGAAAAGCACGCATGCTCAAAACAAATCATGAAGACTGGAAAAAAACCCGCGGCGCACGCTGCGGGTATCCAAACAATATTGAATATTGCTTTCGGGCACAATCTCAAGAAAAGTTCCCCAAGGAAGAAGCAGCCTGCATAATAACAGTGACATGAAACGTCCGCGAGCGGAAGTATTCCAACCCTAGGCCCTAGGCCCAAGGCCAAAGTGGGCATGAGAAGAGACCTGCCCACCTCTAAGGGACCCCAGACCGCCCACCCGGCCCACCCAAGGAAGGGGAAAAAGTGAAGTCCCTCTAAGATACACGAGCGTGGGACATCACCAAACAGCCCTACCCGGACCCCGACCCCCACCCCGGGAAGGCGACAAGGTCGAAGACCATAACAGCAGACAGAACGAACTTCTGTTGTCTTTTCCACGAGATGCGACAGTGAGCGGCGCAAGCGGGGAAACATTTGAACACAGCTTCAGTGAAGTGAGCCTCTGCACGCGTGCACTGCACGCAGCTCAAGGACGCGAAGCATCAAGAGATCCCCCGCCGAAGGCCTATGCGGCCGATATGGCTCACTGCCACGGGTCTCGAGCCCTGAGCGTTTGGTCCTTAGGGACCTTGCACGCGGGACCGAACCAACCGTCCACCTTTTGTTTCTTTGCCTCTTTGATTTCCTCGTAGAGCTCCTTCCCGGTCTCTATGATGTCATGGAAGACATAACCCCTGAAAGAGGCGAAATCAAAATGACATCTAAGCTGTGGGTTGAAAGAGGAAAATCACCATTGCTCACGGCGTCAGCCAGCTTGTTTTGAAGACGCGGCGTCCAGCGCGCAAAGAGAAGGCACTTCTTGTCCTGCAACTGGCAAGCCAGCTCCATTAACGCCGCGCAAAGCGGCCATTTGGTAGTAAGCCACCGTTTGATGGTGCTAACATTTTGAACACTCAAAGGCCTGCGGAGTCACTCAAGATTCATCGGGCTCAACTACAGGGAGCAAAGTAAAAACACAAATTAGTACAACAAAATGTGGGCTTCTACACAAACGGAAATCTTAGCACCCCGCCTCACAGTGCTTCGAGGTTCGGAGTATCTGTGTACATAAGGATTTCCGCCCACATTGACTTCAACAAACCAGACAACTTAGCTCAGGCTCCCTTTCGACTACGGTCAGCTGTTTCGCTGATCTGCCCTAGCCAGCTCAAGGCCTTTGTGACAGCTGCTGCTTTTGAGCAGGAAGTTCAACTACGCTACGGCTGAACTACGGAATGCATGCTTGTTTGCCCAAGCGGAGGCCACAGGCAACAGAGTTGCCATCACTTAGCCATTGAGGCTCGTAGTAAAAAGATTGTGATGGCCTAGCTGCCATCGCACGAGAGATGAGTCGGCTACTCAAATCAAGGCATTCGGAGTAACACATTCGAAGTGCGGCATAAAAGGGATTGGTTCCAAAATGGAACATAACAAGTTTCGGCTAGCCCGGGCAAAGTCAAAAAGCATCATGAGCATTACCAAGCATAGCACAACAAGTTGTTGGGTTCGGATTGCCAATCTACTGCATGTCATCGCGTCAGGGTCTGCACACTCGGCACGGTGTGTAACCCTTCTCCACTGCTTCTCTGCGGCTGATTTCCGTCACTCCATCTGAATGCTTCAGCTTGGTGCATGCGATGCGATGGAACGCATAGCCTTGTCTCGTGGATACCCAGACATCGGGCACTCGGGCCGGTCTAGCAGCTGCCTTGGGGCGCCAACGGGCTTGCGGCACCTCCTCGATGACTTCGGAACTCTCGGATGCTGCATGCTCGTCACTTCCTCGAGCTTGCTCATCACGGTTCCGCGGACTCGACTTTGCCTTTGACCTGGCACCTCTGGCTGCTGCCTTTCTGTGCTCTTCAGGCACATCACTATCATCAGAACCAAGAGGCAAAGGCCGGGCAGGCGTTCCTGGAGCACTTTCCTCTGGTGCTTTCAGCACTTTGTGAAACCGACCGGCAGTACCCGTGCGTGGACCTTTGCTCAACCTTACATCGGCTTCTACGTAGTTTGCGTAGTTTCCAACCTGCAATTGCACCGACAATGCTTCTGGCTCATGATGTCAGCAACAGCCAGATGCGGCAAACATGCAAACGATGAGCAACATCACTTGCAACCCAGCGCTTGCGACGGACGGATACTGGCTCAAAAATTCCCCGAAGCACTCAAGAACTGTGAAGCAAAACATCAGGCACTGATGGAACAATCCTGTGTTCTCATCACTGTCGTCATCCTGATCAGGCTGACCAGACGATGGCGTCATCTGAAGTGCAAGAAGCATGATCGACAGCATCTGAGCACTTGCTTCACCACGTTTGGCAAAATGCTTCAAGTCACGACACACTGCTCTGACTGCACGTGCATTCTCGATCATGGCTGCATGCGCTTGTCCAAGAGGGGCATAGCCGTTGTCTGCATCTTTGATGCCCATAAGCCCCAAAAGGTATTCGGTGCGACCTGGGTTCAAGTACTTGGTACCCACATCACTCACGTTGCAAGCCGTCTCAACCGGGACTACATTTACCAAACCATCAGCTACTTTGGACTGCAACCATAACAGTTTACCGTCAAGGTGGCGCACACGTCCAACACCTGTGCGCATGCATATCGCACGCGCTGCGGCGTTGTCGATTAGCAGCTGGATGGGTGCAACGGGCCCGAACATGAAGGTCACGGCGCGATGCAACAGGATGGCGTCGATGCAGCCACCGACTGCACTGTGGAATTCACTCTCTGCAGATGACAAGGAAACCACCTGCGTGCGCGATGAGGCATGAAGGAGCTGTGAGTTCAGCAGCACCACGCATCCAGACACGCTCCGGCGTGTCAGCCGGCAACCACTCCAGTCTGAGTCAGTGTAGCACTCAACGATATGTTCAGCCTTCTGGACCTTAAGGCCTACACCGACTGCCGGTGTGGAAATGACCAAACGATGATGCTCATGCTGGGCCAAGTACGAAACCAGGTGCTTAAGCAGCTTCCAGGTGCCATATGTCGGCTTCTGCATGAACCCTGCCAGGAACCTTATGCTGAACTGGCATGCAACGGTATCGGACTGCAAATCGAGTAAGATGCCCGTTGCGGACCGGTATGTGGATGCCATGTCGCTTGGCAGCTCGGTGTCACCAGGGTCATCGGTCGGCAATCTACCTGAAGGAAACGGGGTTTTCCTGGGCCGAAGTTTGGCACCTTTGAGGTTGCACAACTCGAGCAGTTTATCCACATGCTTAGGTGGCACCTGAATCTCCAATTCAGTGTCCGAAATCAAGCGATGCACTCGTTTTAGGAACGTCAATTCGTCCCCAATGTCTTTGATCCACTGTACAGCGATGGTGTAGCGCTCACTTAGCTTTGCAACGACATGTTCAAGCGTATCACCGTGGGCAGTTGCAAGAAGGTCATCAACATGCATGAGGCCTCCCCCAGTGGCACCTGGGTTCGGCTCAAACTCCCCGCCTGCGCCTTCACTGCTTTCACTTGGAGGCATACGGAACAGCGATGGCATCTCAGGAAAAGGTTGTACACAGCATTGGCTAACCAGCACATCCTGGAAATCCCGAAACCATCTTGCAGAGCCGTCACGCTGTCCCGGCAGGCATTTGTGTAATTTAAACCAGACCACTACACCATTACCCACCTTAACTGACGTCACCGTATCAACCTCTTGACTTCAGTCAAGTAGGCGTCGCTCACGTCGAGCGACAGCATATGCCATCCCTGGCTCCGGTGTGTCATGTACAGGGCCGGTACGAGCCTTGTGGTTAGACTGCTCGAAGCTGGCGAGTATAACCCAGTGCGTCCTGGGCCCAGGAAGTGGTATTCCCGGGCTACTAGGCGGGCACGTCGAATCCACCCGAACGATTTCAAACGCCATGTCACCACGAATTTCGTGGTCAGGGTCCTGTGTCCCGGGATCGGACCATCGACTTGGGCCAAGACTTTCATGCGCCCGAGCCGCTGCAGCTCGTACTCCATGGCGATCTGATCGATGCGTGCCAACTCTTCGTCGGAAAGTTCCGGTTCACCGTGGTCCAAAGGAAGTATCAAGGATTGGGGCATGTCAAGGGTTTGCTCTTGTCCATCATCAGCAATCTCAAGATCACCGTCACCAAGATCCGCCTCGATGTCTTCATCAGGTGATTCGCCATCCACATGATAAAACTCCTGGTCTCCAATTTTCGTGACTGCCATCAGACGAAGCTTCTTTCGCACAGGCGCAGGCTCACTGCTTCCGGGCGCAACATGATCTGCAGGGGTCTCGGGAGGACTACGGCCAGCCTGATTAGAACCACTAGACCCACTGGAACTAGAACCACTAGGGCTGGCCCCTACACCCGCAGGGCTTGGTTCTGGCATTGCGACATCTTCATTGACTGCATCAGCTGAGGCAATCCCCGCCTGGTGAGGCGTTGGGGGCTCTGGCGTTCCCGCTGCAATGCTTGGACGAGGCAATTGAGGAACAAGTTCGGAAAGCATTGCGTCGTCAGGCAGGAGCCGCTGCTCTGGTGGAGGTGCCTCGGGCGGCACCACCTCTGCGTTGACAGCTGGCCCGTCATCACCCGCAGGTGTACGCTGCGCACGTGCTTGTCCAACATGGCCGGCGAGGAAAGCTGCTTGCGAGTATGGCATCTCTCGCAACACAGTGCAAAGCTCATCACTGAAACGCTCGGGGATGCGTCTCACGACCAAGAAGCCTCCAGGCGTCACGCCGACATAATGCTTCCTCTCGAAGGCCTCAACGAAGATCGTGATGCGATTGAAGATCAGGGTGCAAGCATTGGACATGACGAAAATCAAGAGAGTGACGAGCAAAGAGCTGCAAATCCGAATGCTGAGTATGTTGCGGTTGACGGCGTACGTCTGAACATGGACTGCACTTTGGCCACCCTTAGGGCAGCATGCGTTACGCTTGGATTGGGCAAGAGCGGGGGGAAAAGCAACGGTCCTCAAACGCATGCAGGACCACCTTCGCCGGCATGAGCTTTTGGAAAGGCATCATGCAGAAGCCGACGACGGCGCAGCTGTGCCACGTGAGCAAGCGCCGGTTCGCATGCCCACCGATGAGCAGAGGCGTGCTCATTCCTTGACACATGTTCCTTATGAAGCCTGGTGTCCGTTTTGTGTCCAGTTCCGTGCTCGCAGCGATCGACATGAAAGGTCAGGTGGCAGTGAACGTACATGTTCCACGTTGTCCTTTGACTTTGCTTACACTGGTCGTCCGAAGGACCCCGCAAAGAAGCTTGTGGTCCCCTTCAGGGAACAGGTCAAGCATGTTCACACGGGCGGAAGTGGCAATGGTGATGATCTCATGCAACCTTTCAATCCCTTGGTGAGGCAAAGCACTCTCAGGATCATCAAGACGTGCCACTTCTGCATTCAGCTCGTGCAACTTCCAACCTTGTGGCCCATTTATGAGCGTCGTACGAAACCTGACATCATGCGCTGCAAGAGCAGTAGCACAGTCGATCAAGCACGAAGAGTTGCATCGGTTGGCATGCACACCTTCAGACAACACCTGGAACCTCTCGGTGAGTGCAAGGAACGGACCATGAAGCTGCAAAGCGCGCACATCACAGGTGGGGTCACTCATCACAACACGGATGTCACCACGCACACACAAGGAATTTTGCTTCAGGTACACAGGAATCTTGATGCCATCGCGTTCAAGCACAAGATTGTCGTCTTGATCTCTGCCAACACTCCACCCGACACGGTAGAGCTTGCCGAGTGACAACAGGGGACTCGTCACAGGTGCAATGAGCCAGCGATCCTTCACAGATGCACCGCTGAGCGCAAGGACGGCCTCACGGATGCCATGCGATTTCAGAGGGTTTCCCTGAGCATCCCGGTACCAGTGGTTGGAAGATGCAACCTTGCGACCCACATTGGCATAGGCGCCTGAGTCCAACACGATTTCCACCTGCTGGTGGAGCACATGGTCACCTTGCCACTGGAGGGCACGCACATCACCCGGTGGAACAGGCTCCTGGGTATCATCGTCCCATGACAACCAGTGTGCATCATCATCACTATATGTCATGTCGTAGCACACACACGAAGAAGGACACATGGAATGCTGCGCGGGCGCTTGAACAGGTGGAGGCCGAATCTCGCGATTTCCTTGAAAATCGGACAATTTCGCCTGGGAGGGCGGAATCTCGGGTTTTTGCTGGAAAACGGACAATTTCGCCTGGGGCGGAATCTCGGGTTTTCCCTGGAAAACGGACAATTTCGCCTGGGGCGTCCTGGCTGAGAACCCAAGAGGAGAGTTTGCAACCGCATGGGCTCCCAGCAGAGGAGCACTTCCTGAGATGGCACAGACCTCCATGGCCCTGGAGGCTCGGGCATGCAAAGCGCTAACAAGCTGCACAAACTCATCGTTGCGCCCATCACGCACCATGCGCACATGCCCATCACTTGCATCCAGCTGGCAAAGGTCAACTTCAACACGGCGCACAGAGCCCGGGACTGCAGTGCTGGACGACGGCACCGCGGAGGATGTCGCGGCTTGCGAAGCAGAGCCACCCACCGAGGTGACAGTCGTGGATGTCTCAGCGCCGACGACCTGATTCACTGAGGACTGACCCTTAGATCTCCAGCACTCCTGCGCATAGTGGCCCTTGCGCCCGCAATTGAAACACTCAATTTGCGACTTGTCGGCCTTGCCTTTGCCCTTGCCTTTACCTTTCTCATCTTTGCCACCTCCCTTTTTATCCTTGCCCTTAGGTTTCCCTTTAGGATTCTTGCCTCCATCACCCTTAGGCACCCTTGCCTTTAGAGTTTCCGCGACCACCTTTGCGCTTACCCTTCTGAACTGCATCCACTTCCATTGGCACGACATCAGGATTGACAGGAGGGTCCACGATGCCAAGACTCTGGTGAACCTTGGTCACACTCCAAGACGTGGTGGTGATCTCATAAGCAAGGATGTAAGACCTGACGGATTCATAGGTGGACTCTTCGGTCATGCTCAGCTGCACGTGCTGACGGATGGCCTGAGGGAGACACCTCATTAGGCTCCCAAGCATCACGTTGGGGTCGATTGCACGACCACTGACGTGTTCGTACTCTCCACAAACACGCTCTAGCCCATCTACCTGCTCCCGAAGTGTCTTAGACTTTTCAAATACCGGATATGCCATCACGGCATTTAAAAGAGCCATTGCACGAACTTTTGATCGCGGGGCGAAAACGTTGTTTAATTGTCTCCATACTTCGAAACCAGAACGTTCCTGCACTTGCTTTAGAATCGACTTCGGTTTGTGATGAAGAACGGTGGCCAGTATTGCGTATAGGCGACGCGAGCGTGCGTCGGACACAGTCAGCTTGCCCAGCCACAGCATTCTAACCCATCTAGGATGACCCTTGACTTTGCTACGGATGCGACCAAAGCAGGTCTCACCAAAGGATATGATCTTCCCGTTGTACGGACGACCTGTGACCAACTCAAAGCTGGTTATCCCATGGCTCTTCACGAACCTGTGTGCCATCCATCCGGCGTGCCGCCAGGCCCATCCATGGATGGGATCAAGAGATCCAATTGCGGTCTTTGCCTCCTTTTCATACTCAGCAAGGATGGTGCATGTCAACTGGCGCAAGAACTCGATGGCCTGTTCAGCAGGATTGCTTTGGTGGTCTCCAGGCTCAGGGGCTTCTCTGTGTGTTTTCAACCCAAGCTTGGTGCGATACGCCTTCACTGCCGCCTTCAACGCCAAACATGTCGGCTCATTGTCACTCTTCAAGGTGACTTCATTGTGCCCCAAGACATTGAGATAGCGACAGAGCTCGGCTGTAGCATAGCGCATCGATTCAGTGCCTCCTTTCCGGGGCAAGGCCCACGCATTGCGAGATCCAGTGTGGCTGTCAGCAACAACAAGGCAATCCCTGCCCCGGCACAGCCAGTGCCAGTGCGTGCTGAATCGGATGATGACGACCCGGGTGCTAAGGTGGGCCTCAACATGAGCCAACTCTTCCTCGTATCTGCCATCGGCAAAGATAAGCCAAGTGCGAAAACTATGCGCCCAATCTTGCCATTGGGACAGGTCAAAGCCATGATCAGTGGAACCGAAGTTGGCTGGCCTGCTTAACACTTTGTTGGCGTCACTGAAGCCTGACACACTAGATGCACCTGCATTGCCTGAAGTCCCGCCACGGACTGCCTGCACGGCGGCAGCAGCCGCTTGCGCTGCAGCCTCAGATGTCATCATCATTTGCTGCATCATCGCTACCATCTGACTCATATCCACACCACCTGCTGTCGGTGACCCTACAACAGGACTGAAAGGATTCGGGAACGGTCCCTGAGGACCCGCAGTGGCACCTCCAGGGGTTGCATGCGGTTGCAACTCTGGATCAGAGATGTCATCATCAGCATCAGCCATATCACTCACAGTGTCACAGGTACGGCAACGCCTCAAGACTCAAGCTTGCAAATGCACGCCAACAAAGGATCTCGTGGAAAGGAAACAACAAGGGGTATGCTGCTTGTCACGCAATCCTATGGCACAATGCACCGATGCAAGGTCACGGAGGAAAAGGTGGCTTGCCTTCCACCACACACTATGGCTCTTCGGCACGGCCGCCGGAACTGCACACTACGAACTCAGCTTACAAGGATCTGTAGAAACCCGAACGGCGGAACCTAAGTTCAAAGCCTGGGCCCCTGAACACAAACCCCAAACAAAGTTCCCACGTGTTCTTGTCACTACCTCCCTGTGTCGGGATTGGGTCCTGTCCCGCACGAGCCACCTCACAGCCCTGACCAAGGGAAAGGACCGCCAGGCGCTCCGCTACCATGCTAACATTTTGAACACTCAAAGGCCTGCGGAGTCACTCAAGATTCATCGGGCTCAACTACAGGGAGCAAAGTAAAAACACAAATTAGTACAACAAAATGTGGGCTTCTACACAAACGGAAAATCCTTAGCAGATGGTAAAACTGTTTCCAGCGTTGTCCGTCCCCGCTGAAATGTTGACCCAAGCTTGTCCATGCGACGACGGCTCAAAGAGAACCACGGAGATTAATGTGGCCAGCATTTCAAGTGTGGCGATGAGGCGACAGTTCTCGCCCGAGACGTAAAGCCATGGGCAAGTGGCCGGGCTGAGCCTCACCGAGAACCACCTACAAGCCTTGGGATCGACGTCGTCAATGGCAGCCCAACCTCCCAGGCAGACATCATTGCCCTCCGCCTTTGCGTCAGCACAGAAGAATGTTTGCGCTTGTTGCTGCAGCGGCGGTATCTCAGCCATGGACGTGCCGCCTTCTAACGCCCGAGACAAGAAGCGCAGAATCAAGGAGACAGCATGAGGAAGGCGCAAGGTCTTGCAGTGTGCCACCGCCGTCGTCCAAGCGTACAACGGGCCCAGGAACGGACGAATCAGCGGCAAAGCGGTGCATGCGAAAGCAAGCCTCCCAAGCACGCTTCTCATGTCAGGTACTTGGAGGAACGCCCTGGTTATAAGTGTAAAGCCAACTTAGCATGTAGATGACGGACTTGTTTTGTAGTTGTTCTACTTGCCATAAGTAGACTTAGACCACTTAACTTCCAAGGCTTTGTGACGAACTTATAAGTACACTTACGGGTCACATAGCCAAGTGGGCTAAGTGGTTTATCGGCCCCGTGGCTAAGTGGGCCAAGTGGGTCGTTGGCCTACTTAGCTAAGTAGGCTAAGTGGGCCCTCAGACACACCATATCTGGACCACAAGAGCAAGGCAGAGCAGCAAATAGAATGCGGCGACAAGGTCCGCGAAATCGCAACAATGCAACTCAAATAAGTTATACGCAAAATCTTAAGAGCGGCAAGAAAGAAAGTCATGTTGCGGGCACACGCGGAAAACCCCTATTAATAAGAACTACAGACCATCGAGCACGGAACACGCGCGCCACATATAGATACACAGCGACACACAGAAAACACAAAGCCTTATATTGCTCTATCAACCACGGCCCTTCTGGAAGTCCAAGAGCTGGATGAAGCGCCCGCCTCCGGCAGGATAGATTGAGGAAAGCTCAGAATATGGAAAGGCTTGAGTTGGGGCTTGGGTTGAGGTTTGCTTATTTGTGGCACTTGCAGGATGGGTCTGCTTGTAGTATAATGCAGCCCTATATATATATATATATATCTATGTATAACATTTAAAGGATTTGCGGGATAAGGACAGGGCTTACATGGGAAACTATATCTGTTTACAGAAATGTTTATACTGTTTGGGCATATATATGTATATAGGGTTGCAAAAGGTTAGATCGGGTCATGTGTGGTCACATGCATGGTGTGGGTTTGCACAAGGGTTTATACGGGGTCACATCCATGGAGAGGGTTTCTCCAAAGATTGCAGGGCTCAGGCATTACATGTATACATGGGCCACATAGGCGCACCCCTCCCCCTCCCCCCCCCACGGCACCCCCTGCCTGTGGTTCATGGTGGGTTTTGGGTTCCCCCGCCTGTTGTTCATGATCTGTGGTTCATGAGTTTATAGGGTTTATAAGGGTTTAGGGTTAGGCTGTCTATAGTGTTCAGGGTTTTCACTCTGGTCCATTGGTTCACTGTGGGTTTAGAGTTTGATTAGGGTTCAAGGTTTGGGGTAATGATAGGTTTACGGTTTCCTCTCTCCCCCTTGTGGTTCGTGCTGGGTTTACGGTTGAGGGTTCAGGCTTGAAGCAGCAAGGGTTTCGGGTCTACGTTTCTCCCTCCCGTCGTTCAATGGCGGGTTTAAGTTTTATGGCTGAGGGTTCATGGTTGGGGTTCAGGCTGAGGCTTTCCCGTCCCCCCCCCACCCCCCCCGTGGTCCGTGGTGTTTTTTAGGGTCAACAGGCAGGTTGCCATGGGGGGGGGCGGGGGATTAAGGGTTCAAGGTTTGGGATGCAGGTTATATAGGTCCCTTCTGCGCGGCGTGTCGCCGCATACCTGGGCCCCTCCCGGATGTTTGGAAAGTAGTATATTTTTTTTTTTGGACGAAGGTTTGCTGCGAGAAACCTATATTAAAAAAATATCTACATAATAATGATGATAATAATAATAATAAATATATATATATATATATGTATTTGTATTTATATTTATATCTATATTTATATTTACATAGCGTGTCCGGCCCCACCCCCCCCCCTTGCATGGTATGCATGGTCAGGCATATAGGGGGAGGGGGGCCTACTGTGAGCACACCCTCTGCAAAACCTGTGTAGTGTTGCGCCTTGGGTTGAGGGCCCTTAACCCGAAAACCCGAAACCCGAAACCCTAAAAAAGAAACCCTATTATAAACCCTATAAACCCTAAACGCAAGAAACCACCACAACCCCACAGGGCCCCTAAACCCTAAACCCTCAACCCTAAACCCAAAACCCTAAACCAACACAACCGCCATGCACCCCGCAGGGCCACAGGGGGGGGGCGGAGGAGCCACGGGGGGGGTTCCAGAGCATTGGGGGGGGGGGTATAGGGGGGGCCGCGGAGCGCTGCAGGACCATATAGATAGCAGAAGAGCGGTAAGCGCCCCAAGTCCGAAATCTTAGACATATGTAGGGCTGCAATTGCAAATGCCATGGACGGCTGGCGACGCTTCAAAAGCGCTCTGAGCCGTGGCGGGAAAACAAGAGCGCGCGAGAATTCACAACTCCCTGCGCGCAGGCTTTACGCGAGATAGCTCCCTGCGTAGCACATGTCTCAGAACATGCTGCGAAGCGGAATGACCAATGCAACATTGGGATCATCATCTTCCGGTCTGTAAATGCACAATGCACAGTCGCTCAATGCTCGTCGTTGGCACAAAGATGGCCCCCTCGGTCAATGAGAAACGATTCTGCCGATCACGGCGCTTGGCCCATGGAGAGAAGCATGTGAACAAGGTTCCTGCGTCTGAGACATGAAAGTTCACTTGGCCGACTTGCCTTTCTCCAGTGTTCACTACAACCATGTCGCCTCTCTTGCATGTCCGGCCATGTCCAAAAAACATGTGGCAGACACTTCCAGAGCGAGGGCAGGACGGCCGGAGAAACTGCGGAAGACAGCGCTGATCTCCCGCGCGGCCGGCTTGGGGTCCACGAGCCCTGCTGCGCAAGCCATCAAGTGCGATAGGGAGCTCAAAGCTGACCTTGAAAATCAGGGCCTAATGGTCAGCACCACCAAAACCGCCTTTATCTGCAGTAACAAAGCCTCGGCCAGAGAGTTGCAGTCCTTGTTGGGAGAAAACGAACCTCCCATCCAAACCCTGGGCAAAGTCGGCCTGGACTATGCAGCGGGCCAGAGGAGGCGCGTCACTGTGGCCAAAGGGAGACATGGCAAAGGTGGGCGCCGAGCAGGAAAACTGCTCAAGCTTAGGGTCAAAGGGACGGGCATACGGGTAAGACTTTTCAACGGGTCTATCCGTTCGTCCGCCCTTTATGGGCATGAAGGTGTAGGGGTGGCACCTAAACGGCGGAAGTGGTTCAGGGGTCTGCTTGCTGCTGTTTTGGGTAGACCCACCCTCGCCAGTACAGACTCCACCATCGAGTTCCACTCCCACAAGGTTGCAGATCCGACCTGCACCATCATGGCACAGCATTTCAGGGCTGTAAGGCGACTCATTCTCAGTATACTCCTCCAGGGACTGGAAATTCTTCTCCAGCGCCAGCTCCATGACATGTTCCTCCGATCCAGAAGTCATGGACGTCAGCTGGTTCGCGTACGTCGCGTACCGTTTCAGTTCCTTGCGCCGCCGCTCGTGCACGAAGCACGAAAACAGAGCCCCATGCCGTTCCAGCATGTCGCGCAGATGCACATTGAAGTGCTCCTTCGGCAGGAGCCTGTCTTCGCCGTAGAGGGCTTTAAAGCTGCGCAAATGCTGCAGCACGGCGCGGCGCAAATCGCTGCCCTGTAGGTGACCTGTGGATGCGCGGGACAGCAAGTCCAGCACATCGCAGAGACGATAAAAGCACTCAGCTGCCAACAACATCCGCCGGTTAGGGAACTGAGGTTGCAAGTCTTCCAAGAATCCTCGCAAAGCTGGGTACACTGAGAGCCTCGGAAACTCGAACAGATGCTGCGAGGGAAACTCTCAGCAACCCTTGTCCAGCTCGTCTTGTGCTGTCGAGATCGCCCCCGGAGGACGAGATGCTGATGGCCCCCCTCACATAGGTCCTCAACCTCCAAACCAGCCATGCACGGTTGACACCGCAACCAACTGTTCTCTGGGTTTTCGACCCAGAACGGGATCTCAAGGGCAACAAGCAAAGCCGGGAACGAATGAAGCGTGGGAGTTTCCCTGGATTACTTTCAGCTGGAAGCTCGGAGTGAGGTTTTCAATTCCTTCTGGCTGCGGCACTTCGGATTGCAGGAGTCACGGCAGTGGAGAAGGACGAGCAAATGGGCGACAGCCCCACAGATGAGAAAGCCCCGGCCTTCACCGCTTCAATGACTCTTAGGCACGCGGTCGATGACGACCATATCGTCAATGACGATGCCGATGCACGGATAGAGCCGGCTCGGACGTCCATGAAGAGTCAACAGCCGTTGCAGAGAAACTACATCATGCGAGAACAAAATTTCAGTTTATACATAATATATATATATATATATACAGACATAAATACACACCCTTTCTAGACATCATACATAAATCTGCACCAAAATGAACATTTGCGAGCGCTGAAATCCATGGTCCTTGAGGACATCTAAGAGCAAATTCCTCGACTTGGAAAATACCAGATACGAGAAAGTTATGCATCCAGTCGAACATGGTCCAGGAGATGGGGAAAACCTCGCTCTCCAGAGTCCCATCGAAAAGCACACCGTGAGGCGCATACCTCATTCCGAGACTGGTTTGCCGCTTTTGGAAGGCGGCTTGACTAAGCACGTGCCTGTGCCTTGCCAGGTCTTTCGCAGTTGCCCAAAGCCGTGCATCGTTCTGCAAATGGAGCGTCGAAAGGTCATCTTCAGCATGGCTCACGAACCATCCACTGGCGTCTGTCACGTGAAGTTGCGAAGAAGCCTTGACCACATTTCTGCAAAACAAGCGCAAACGAAGGCCCGAAGCACCCATCGCCTCCCAAGTTTGTTTGATGGCGGCTTCGTCGGCAATGAAACATCCTCGGTTGAACGAGCTGTATTCTGGCCTGAATTTAAACAGCAAAGTTCGGAACCCTAAACCCTTATATAAACCCTAAACCCGAAACCCATATAGAAATGTCACGACACACTTGTCATAAAGAGCAAACAAGCTTAATGCAGGTGGGAGTTGCCCACCCGAGCAACGAGCACGAAACGTTCCTGGTCAGGGCTGGTGAGTGCCAACCCCACAAAAACCTGACCACACGCTTCATCAGCTGCGACATGCCGCTGGCCATCCTGGTAACGTCCACGCTGCGTGCAGCCAGCGGACGAACCAGTGACTCTTCTTTGGCAAGAGCCACGCCGGAAGGAGTTGCAAAATTTCGCTGAGGCCTCGCTGGGTTACGAAGGTTCCGCTTGGCATTCAAAATTGCAGTAGCCATGACGCTGCGAGTCGTCACCCTGCAGCAGTCGCACTGCGATCTCTTAGATCTGCAATGCCGAAATTTAATGCAAGGACTGCCCCTGCACACCCTCAACAACGCTCTGCATGCACCGACATGTTTAGAATGTATATCTGCACCAATTGGCACCCCTCTCCAAACTGTATAACCCCTATAAACCCTGTGTAAACCTTATATGCGTGATACATGCATACCAACCCTAAACCCTTCTGTATGTGTATATTTGTCGACATATACCAGACGATAGTCACATAGTAAATAATAGCTCTATACTTGATTTATCCATTGATTAATACTTGTGTTATATATCAAAGCCTTTTGACAAAAATGCGCCAGTGTATATCTATCTATCAACATATAGATATAGAGTAAGACTCCAGCATTCCCTTATGTAGAAGGCTTATGCAGTATACATACGCTATACATGAAATTTCTGCACCTGAGGATCGAAAATAGACACGGCGCAGACCTGGCTTCACAAAAAGCCATACGCATCAACGTCGCCAAGAAGCATGACCTGCATCTGCGCAGGGTTCAGAGTTTCGGGTTTCGGGTTGAGGGTCATATGCATGTTCACTACGATTTCTCATGCGCCATGATGTCGAACCTCATGGCGCCCCAACTTCTTGCCTCTGCGTGTTTCGATCTCGAGGTGCATGGATTCCTCGTGTGCAAAGACCTGCAAGCGAAAGGAAACTATGTATGATTGTTTCTGTTTCTGCATGTCGCAGATGGCAATAGCATTTTGAATGCGCAAAAGAGTGCCGAGCATGTGCAACCGGCCGCACTGCATGGCCTCCTGGAAGCATCTTTTTCAATTGATTTCTCAAGATCCCATGGCAGCTGCACGGGTGCGTTGAAGGGGTGTGTTGCGCTTTGCTGGCTGCTGCTGCGCTTGTCAGATGTCGCGAGTGGCGCAGAGGCAGGCCCTGCAAAGAGGCCCGGGTAACCGCTCGCATCTGCACCTCATGCTTTATTGCAACAGGAACGGTTGAAGCCAACAATCCCACAATGAGTGGAGAATGCACCGTGACAGTTTTAACGCCAAACACAGCACCAGCAGCACACCCTGCGCAAGGGATTTACGGAACAGCAGAAGTCATCGACAGAACAGACAACGCGAGGGGCAACAAAAAGACACAAACCAAACACGGACAAAATAAAATCCGTCCTCACTCCTGTTTCCAAGCCTTGAACTCACCCCTCAACCCCGCACCAGATCTTGCCATTCGGCAATGAAGTTGTTCAATGTCTCCGATCCGCAAGGCTGCGTACTCAGACGAAATCGGTGAAGGGGGTTCGCATACTTGGACAACACGGTTAGTATTAATATTACCCCGTGAGCACAATATGAATAGAATTATAGCTCACGGCATTAATATTAAGATAACGGGCCTAATTAGTATATTTAACTGGCCCGTATAATAGTATATTTAATTTGTCTTTTCTTCCAATTTATTTTTTTCACTTTTCTTTCTTCGTTTATTACAGCATAAATACAATTAATAATATTGTGTTCTCTTCTCTGATTAAAATGTAGATTAAATGTACTGAATGAATGAGAGAAAGAATGAATGAAGAACGAAGTGAATGAATGAATGAATGAATGAATGAAGGAATGAATGAATGAATGAATGAGCGAAGAGAAGCGAAATAATATTTTATATTGCAAGTTCATTTCATGCTTTCCTAAATTTCCCCCTTTGTTACGCTCATTGGTTAACTTATTCCTTATCCCACAGTAAATCACCTCTTTAAACCTGTAGAATATTATGTGTCAGGGAATTAATGGCTTGGAAAACGGCCGTATCTTGACACACCACTTTTAATGCTCACTGGATAAATTTCCTAACAAGATATTGGATTTCAAGAAGATATGAAAATCACTCCTTAAAGGCTGGAATAATATGAATGTTGCTCGCTTCGCTTGTAAAATACAAATCATGCATTAAAAGCACTAATTATAAATCTAATATTAAATCCTGTTAATTTTTCGTACTTCTTTTTCATTTATTGTTCAATTTTTATTTGCATTTGAAATATTTTTCTTGTTTAGTTTTCTTATCTTCTTGTTTTAACATTCTATTAAAAGTGAAGAGAAAGAGGGAACAAGATTATAAGTGCACGAAGTAAGCGCATGAATCTTGCGAGCGATTGAACGAAACAAAATTTGGAACGAAGTGAGAGATAAAAGACCAGAAAGATAAACAACCATAAGATTTCAAGAAAATGCCAATAAAAAAGTTTTAGATTTTCAAATTTAGGAATTTCCAATATTGTAAAGTTTAAAAAGGTGTACTTCGTTCTCACCCTACGTATGATATTCACGCACTTCGTTCACTTTGTTCACTGCAATTGTTAACTAGTGTTTTCTCTTCGTAGTAATTTAGTACTGTTTTAGCGGGCACAATGTGTTCTTAATTTGTGCCCGCGTGATAAAAGCCCTAATTTTCTAATTGAATTTTCATGTTTCGTTCATATTATTCCGGCGTTTCGTGCATTTGTTTCACTTCTTGACAAACGTCGAAATAAACTTATTCTGTTATTATGTGGGTGTTAATGGTTGTTTCGAGAGCTTTTGGAAAGAACTGGATGGTGAAACAGATGTACGTCCAAAAGGTCCTTTTGACAGAGCCAAAAAATAGGTCAATGATGGAGAACCCTTGTCCGCCATTAAACTTAAGTTTTTTTTGCTTGTGGGACCCACCATTCCGATTCTGCATAAAGTTCAATTTGGGAACATGTCGCGCCGGCTGCTGGCTCAATGTCCAGCCTGTTCCGCATCTACCGCAGCTGAGTCTGCTCAAAAGGCCCTAAATCCCCCTGAAGCCAACAACATTCGGTCAAGCCGCATCAAAGGTCAAACGAGCAAAAAGCCTCTAAAGGTTAACTTTGGAGAAATTAAGAAAAACAGCGGGCGCGGAAACTCTTGAATTGTTCCCAAACAGTGCTTGCACAATAAAGTTCTTTGTCCAGAGTAAAGAAAGCTTCACGCTCCGTTGCGTTTCGATGGCATTTCAATGGGTTCATGCAGGGGCATCCCAAGGCTTGAATGGCTAAGTGTTTCTCTTCTCTCTTGTGTTCATTTCCTCTTGCAGTCCAGGTCTTACTGCCTTCCTCCGTGATGAAACTGAATCTCTCTATGATGTGAGAAGCTTGGTAGCCAGATCATATGCCAGGTTTGAAGTCTGGGCTGCTTTGGTTGCACGTGAAGAGTGACCTGCGCTTTACTGGATTGACAATGATCCAGCCAGGTTCGCTCTGGCAAGGGGTAGCTGATTTACAGTCTTACGGCGGGTGATGAGCCCAGAGGTGGAAACGACCCCTCGTTGGAAACAGCCCGGGGCTGGAACCAGGCTGCTGCTGGAAAATACCCAGGCCCGGAACATGCCGAGAATATTTTTCACAAGCTTCTGCCTGGAACACACCCTTTGCTGGAGAATGCCTCGAGCTGGAAGAAGCCCCAGGCTAGAAAACGCCCTGGGCTGGAACCAGCCAGGGGCTGGAAAACGCCCTGGCTGGAACAAGCCCTCGGCTGGAACAAAGCCTTCTGTCTTGCGAAACCATGCAAAAGCCACAATCTCTGTTCTTTCAAGTTTTGGATGACAAAAAGCAACACTTTCAAAGCCAGCTTACCACAATACTGTCAAAACTGCTCTACCCCAACTGCAAGAGTTGATACAGCACGTTTTGTTGATCTCGAGGGCTTCGCTCTTTCAGGTTGAGGATGACAAAAAGCAACACCAGCAAACACTGCTCTTTCAAAATTCAGCCAGCATACCACAATACTCTCAATACCCCTCTGCCCTTTCAGGTTGAGGATGAAAAGAAGCAACACCAACAGGCCAAAGCCTGAAGCCTTACCGCCAGAGACTGCCCGGGCCTGGAACCTTAAGTCAAAGACTGCCTGGCCTAGAGCCCTAGGCCAAAAACTGCGCGGCCTGGAGCCTCAAACCAAAGACTGCCCTTAAGCCAAAGTCTTAAGCCAGAGACTGCCCAGCTTGGAGCCCTAAGCCCAAGACTGCCCAGCTCTGCCTGCAGCCTTAAGCCAGAAACTGCCCGGCTTGGAGCCTTAAGGTTAGGGGTTGGGGGTGGTTCAGGTACAGGCCAGCCCGACCCCTTTACTATTCTTCAAAACTCAGCGAGCATACCACAAAACTGTCAAAAACGCTCTGCCCCAACTGCAAGAGTTGATACAACACGTGCTTTTTGATCTCGAGGGCTCTGTTCCTTCAGGTTTAGGATGACAAAAAAGCAACACCAGCAGACGTTGCTGTTTCGAACTTCTGCCAGCATACCACAACACTGTCAAACCGCTCTGCCCCAATTGCAATTTTTGATACAACATGTTTTTTTGATCTTGAGGGCTCTGTCCTTTCAGGTTTAGGATGACAAGAAGCAGCACCATTGTTCAAAACTCGGCCAGCATACCAGAAAACTGTCAAAACCGCTCTCACCCAACTGCGATGTTTGATACAGCACGGTTTTTTGATCTCGGGGGCTCTGCTCTTTTCAGGTTTAGGATGACAAAAAAGCAACACCAGCAGACGTTGCTGTTTCGAACTTCTGCCAGCATACCACAACACTGTCAAACCGCTCTGCCCCAATTGCAATTTTTGATACAACATGCTTTTTTGATCTTGAGGGCTCTGTCCTTTCAGGTTTAGGATGACAAGAAGCAACACCATTGTTCAAAACTCGGCCAGCATACCAGAAAACTGTCAAAACCGCTCTCACCCAACTGCGATGTTTGATACAGCACGGTTTTTGATCTCGAGGGCTCTGCTCTTTTCAGGTTTAGGATGACAAAAAAGCAACACCAGCAGACGTTGCTGTTTCGAACTTCTGCCAGCATACCACAACACTGTCAAACCGCTCTGCCCCAATTGCAATTTTTGATACAACATGTTTTTTTGATCTTGAGGGCTCTGTCCTTTCAGGTTTAGGATGACAAGAAGCAACACCATTGTTCAAAACTCGGCCAGCATACCAGAAAACTGTCAAAACCGCTCTCACCCAACTGCGATGTTTGATACAGCACGGTTTTTTGATCTCGAGGGCTCTGACAAAAAAGCAACACCAGCAGACGTTGCTGTTTCGAACTTCTGCCAGCATACCACAACACTGTCAAACCGCTCTGCCCCAATTGCAATTTTTGATACAACATGTTTTTTTGATCTTGAAGGCTCTGTCCTTTCAGGTTTAGGATGACAAGAAGCAGCACCATTGTTCAAAACTCGGCCAGCATATCAGAAAACTGTCAAAACCGCTCTCACCCAACTGCGATGTTTGATACAGCACGGTTTTTTGATCTCGAGGGCTCTGCTCTTTTCAGGTTTAGGATGACAAAAAAGCAACACCAGCAGACCTTGCTGTTTCGAACTTCTGCCAGCATACCACAACACTGTCAAACCGCTCTGCCCCAATTGCAATCTTTGATACAACATGTTTTTTTGATCTGTGGGCTCTGTCCTTTCAGGTCCTTTCAGGTTTAGGAGGAGAAGAAGCAACACCATTGTTCAAAACTCGGCCAGCATACCAGAAAACTGTCAAAAACCGCTCTCACCCAACTGCGATGTTTGATACAGCACGGTTTTTTGATCTCGAGGGCTCTGCTCTTTTCAGGTTTAGGATGACAAAAAAGCAACACCAGCAGACGTTGCTGTTTCGAACTTCTGCCAGCATACCACAACACTGTCAAACCGCTCTGCCCCAATTGCAATTTTTATACAACATGTTTCTTTTGATCTTGAGGGCTCTGTCCTTTCAGGTTTAGGATGACAAGAAGCAGCACCATTGTTCAAAACGCCAGCATACCAGAAAAAACTGTCAAAACCGCTCTCACCCAACTGCGATGTTTGATACAGCACGGTTTTTTGATCTCGAGGGCTCTGCTCTTTTCAGGTTTAGGATGACAAAAAAGCAACACCAGCAGACGTTGCTGTTTCGAACTTCTGCCAGCATACCACGGTCTCACCAAGCCAAAAAGAAATCTGCACTGCCTGACATGTCCTCGTGCCTATGCTTCACACTTATAGCAGACGACTTAAGTGGTCAACTGGTAACTAGGAGGGTTACATTCATCAACTGCAACAGAAACTGATGGCGAAACTGGGCACAACAGGCAACAACTTGAAAAGCAAGGTGTTCCAACACGCTTTTAAGGTTGCTTTTCTTAACTGGATTCAACCAGGTTCCAGTGTTGTCCAGTTTCCAACCGAATCTTTGAGAAATTTCCATTCACAACAATATTAATCTTGGTTTCCGCCACGGTGCAGATCCAGAACCCCTCCCGGATGTTTGGAAAGTAGTATATTTTTTTTTTGGACGAAGGTTTGCTGCGAGAAACCTATATTAAAAAAATATCTACATAATAATGATGATAATAATAATAATAAATATATATATATATATATATATATGTATTTGTATTTATATTTATATCTATATTTATATTTACATAGCGTGTCCGGCCCCACCCCCCCCCCCTTGCATGGTATGCATGGTCAGGCATATAGGGGGAGGGGGGCCTACTGTAAGCACACCCTCTGCAAAACCTGTGTAGTGTTGCGCCTTGGGTTGAGGGCCCTTAACCCGAAAACCCGAAACCCGAAACCCTAAAAAAGAAACCCTATTATAAACCCTATAAACCCTAAACGCAAGAAACCACCACAACCCCACAGGGCCCCTAAACCCTAAACCCTCAACCCTAAACCCAAAACCCTAAACCAACACAACCGCCATGCACCCCGCAGGGCCACAGGGGGGGGGCGGAGGAGCCACGGGGGGGGTTCCAGAGCATTGGGGGGGGGGTATAGGGGGGGCCGCGGAGCGCTGCAGGACCATATAGATAGCAGAAGAGCGGTAAGCGCCCCAAGTCCGAAATCTTAGACATATGAAGGGCTGCAATTGCAAATGCCATGGACGGCTGGCGACGCTTCAAAAGCGCTCTGAGCCGTGGCGGGAAAACAAGAGCGCGCGAGAATTCACAACTCCCTGCGCGCAGACTTTACGCGAGATAGCTCCCTGCGAAGCACATGTCTCAGAACATGCTGCGAAGCGGAATGACCAATGCAACATTGGGATCATCATCTTCCGGTCTGTAAATGCACAATGCACAGTCGCTCAATGCTCGTCGTTGGCACAAAGATGGCCCCCTCGGTCAATGAGAAACGATTCTGCCGATCACGGCGCTTGGCCCATGGAGAGAAGCATGTGAACAAGGTTCCTGCGTCTGAGACATGAAAGTTCACTTGGCCGACTTGCCTTTCTCCAGTGTTCACTACAACCATGTCGCCTCTCTTGCATGTCCGGCTATGTCCAAAAAAACATGTGGCAGACACTTCCAGAGCGAGGGCAGGACGGCCGGAGAAACTGCGGAAGACAGCGCTGATCTCCCGCGCGGCCGGCTTGGGGTCCACGAGCCCTGCTGCGCAAGCCATCAAGTGCGATAGGGAGCTCAAAGCTGACCTTGAAAATCAGGGCCTAATGGTCAGCACCACCAAAACCGCCTTTATCTGCAGTAACAAAGCCTCGGCCAGAGAGTTGCAGTCCTCGTTGGGAGAAAACGAACCTCCCATCCAAACCCTGGGCAAAGTCGGCCTGGACTGTGCAGCGGGCCAGAGGAGGCGCGTCACTGTGGCCAAAGGGAGACATGGCAAAGGTGGGCGCCGAGCAGGAAAACTGCTCAAGCTTAGGGTCAAAGGGACGGGCATACGGGTAAGACTTTTCAACGGGTCTATCCGTTCGTCCACCCTTTATGGGCATGAAGGTGTAGGGGTGGCACCTAAACGGCGGAAGTGGTTCAGGGGTCTGCTTGCTGCTGTTTTGGGTAGACCCACCCTCGCCAGTACAGACTCCACCATCGAGTTCCACTTCCACAAGGTTGCAGATCCGACCTGCACCATCATGGCACAGCATTTCAGGGCTGTAAGGCGACTCATTCTCAGTATACTCCTCCAGAGACTGGAAATTCTTCTCCAGCGCCAGCTCCATGACATGTTCCTCCGATCCAGAAGTCATGGACGTCAGCTGGTTCGCGTGCGTCGCGTACCGTTTCAGTTCCTTGCGCCGCCGCTCGTGCACGAAGCACGAAAACAGAGCCCCATGCCGTTCCAGCATGTCGCGCAGATGCACATTGAAGTGCTCCTTCGGCAGGAGCCTGTCTTCGCCGTAGAGGGCTTTAAAGCTGCGCAAATGCTGCAGCACGGCGCGGCGCAAATCGCTGCCCTGTAGGTGACCTGTGGATGCGCGGGCCAGCAAGTCCAGCACATCGCAGAGACGATAAAAGCACTCAGCTGCCAACAACATCCGCCGGTTAGGGAACTGAGGTTGCAAGTCTTCCAAGAATCCTCGCAAAGCTGGGTACACTGAGAGCCTCGGAAACTCCGCACTTGAACTCTCCGCTTTTTCGGCCATGGACTGACTTGCCGCCAGTGAAGTACGGCCAACAGCAGGTGCTGCGCTACGTCGGGGAGGGCCTGGAACCTTTGTCTCGCCGATCCTAGGACTGGCATCACGAACGCAAGAACTGATTGTAATCCCCAGTCGGAGATGAGATGAGCTCGCAGAATCGCACCTGCTAGCTTCGAACAGATGCTGCGAGGGAAACTCTCAGCAACCCTTGTCCAGCTCGTCTTGTGCTGTCGAGATCGCCCCCGGAGGACGAGATGCTGATGGTCCCCCTCACATAGGTCCTCAACCTCCAAACCAGCCATGCACGGTTGACACCGCAACCAACTGTTCTCTGGGTTTTCGACCCAGAACGGATCTCAAGGGCAACAAGCAAAGCCGGGAACGAATGAAGCGTGGGAGTTTCCCTGGATTACTTTCAGCTGGAAGCTCGGAGTGAGGTTTTCAATTCCTTCTGGCTGCGGCACTTCGGATTGCAGGAGTCACGGCAGTGGAGAAGGACGAGCAAATGGGCGACAGCCCCACAGATGAGAAAGCCCCGGCCTTCACCGCTTCAATGACTCTTAGGCACGCGGTCGATGACGACCATATCGTCAATGACGATGCCGATGCACGGATAGAGCCGGCTCGGACGTCCATGAAGAGTCAACAGCCGCTGCAGAGAAACTACATCATGCGAGAACAAAATTTCAGTTTATACATAATATATATATATATATATACAGACATAAATACACACCCTTTCTAGACATCATACATAAATCTGCACCAAAATGAACATTTGCGAGCGCTGAAATCCATGGTCCTTGAGGACATCTAAGAGCAAATTCCTCGACTTGGAAAATACCAGATACGAGAAAGTTATGCATCCAGTCGAACATGGTCCAGGAGATGGGGAAAACCTCGCTCTCCAGAGTCCCATCGAAAAGCACACCGTGAGGCGCATACCTCATTCCGAGACTGGTTTGCCGCTTTTGGAAGGCGGCTTGACTAAGCACGTGCCTGTGCCTTGCGAGGTCTTTCGCAGTTGCCCAAAGCCGTGCATCGTTCTGCAAATGGAGCATCGAAAGGTCATCTTCAGCATGGCTCACGAACCATCCACTGGCGTCTGTCACGTGAAGTTGCGAAGAAGCCTTGACCACATTTCTGCAAAACAAGCGCAAACGAAGGCCCGAAGCACCCATCGCCTCCCAAGTTTGCTTGATGGCGGCTTCGTCGGCAATGAAACATCCTCGGTTGAACGAGCTGTATTCTGGCCTGAATTTAAACAGCAAAGTTCGGAACCCTAAACCCTTATATAAACCCTAAACCCGAAACCCAGAAAGAAATGTCACGACACACTTGTCATAAAGAGCAAACAAGCTTAATGCAGGTGGGAGTTGCCCACCCGAGCAACGAGCACGAAACGTTTCTGGTCAGAGCTGGTGAGTGCCAACCCCACAAAAACCTGACCACACGCTTCATCAGCTGCGACATGCCGCTGGCCATCCTGGTAACGTCCACGCTGCGTGCAGCCAGCGGACGAACCAGTGACTCTTCTTTGGCAAGAGCCACGCCGGAAGGAGTTGCAAAATTTCGCTGAGGCCTCGCTGGGTTACGAAGGTTCCGCTTGGCATTCAAAATTGCAGTAGCCATGACGCTGCAAGTCGTCACCCTGCAGCAGTCGCACTGCGATCTCTTAGATCTGCAATGCCGAAATTCAATGCAAGGACTGCCCCTGCACACCCTCAACAACGCTCTGCATGCACCGACATGTTTAGAATGTATATCTGCACCAATTGGCACCCCTCTCCAAACTGTATAACCCCTATAAACCCTGTGTAAACCTGATATGCGTGATACATGCATACCAAACCTAAACCCTTCTGTGTGTGTGTATTTGTCGACATATACCGACGATAGTCACATAGCAAATAATAGCTCTATACTTGATTTATCCATTGATAATATTGTGTTATATATCAAAGCCTTTTGACAAAAATGCGCCAGTGTATATCTATCTATCAACATTTCGAGAAAGTAAGACTCCAGCATTCCCTTATGTAGAAGGCTTATGCAGTATACACACGCTATACATGAAATTTCTGCACCTGAGGATCGAAAACAGACACGGCGCAGACCTGGCTTCACAAAAAAAAGCCATACGCATCAACGTCGCCAAGAAGCATGACCTGCATCTGCGCAGGGTTCAGAGTTTCGGGTTTCGGGTTGAGGGTCATATGCATGTTCACTGCGATTTCTCATGCGCCATGATGTCGAACCTCATGGCGCCCCAACTTCTTGCCTCTGCGTGTTTCGATCTCGAGGTGCATGGATTCCTCGTGTGCAAAGACCTGCAAGCGAAAGGAAACTATGTATGATTGTTTCTGTTTCTCATGTCGCAGATGGCAATGGCATTTTGAATGCGCAAAAGAGTGCCGAGCATGTGCAACCGGCCGCACTGCATGGCCTCCTGGAAGCATCTTTCAATTGATTTCCAAGATTCCATGGCAGCTGCACGGGTGCGTTGAAGGGGTGTGTTGCGCTTTGCTGGCTGCGCTTGTCAGATGTCGCGAGTGGCGCAGAGGCAGGCCCTGCAAAAAGGCCCGGGTAACCGCTCGCATCTGCACCTCATGCTTTATTGCAACAGGAACGGTTGAAGCCAACAATCCCACAATGAGTGGAGAATGCACCGTGACAGTTTTAAAGCCAAACACAGCACTAGCAGCACACCCTGCGCAAGGGATTTACGGAACAGCAGAAGTCATCGACAGAACAGACAACGCGAGGGGCAACAAAAAGACACAAACCAAACACGGACAAAATAAAATCCGTCCTCACTCCTGTTTCCAAGCCTTGAACTCACCCCTCAACCCCGCACCAGATCGGCAATGAAGTTGTTCAATGTCTCCGATCGCGGCTGCGTACTCAGACGAAATCGGTGAAGGGGGTTCGCATACTTGGACAACACGGTTAGTATTAATAAAACCCCGTGAGCACAATATGAATAGAATTATAGCTCACGGCATTAATTTTTAAAATAACGGGCCTCATTGGTAAATTTAACTGGCCCGTATTAAAGTATATTTAATTTGTCTTTTCTTCCAATTTATTTTTTTCACTTTTCTTTCTTCGTTTATTACAGCATAAATACAATTAATAATATTGTGTTCTCTTCTCTGATTAAAATGTAGATTAAATGTACTGAATGAATGAGAAAAAGAATGAATGAAGAACGAAGTGAATGAATGAATGAATGAATGAATGAATGAATGAATGAAGGAATGAATGAATGAATGAATGAATGAATGAATGAGCGAAGAGAAGCGAAATAATATTTTATATTGCAAGTTCATTTCATGCTTTCCTAAATTTCCCCCTTTGTTACGCTCATTCGTTAACTTATTCCTTATCCCACAGTAAATCACCTCTTTAAACCTGTAGAATATTATGTGTCAGGGAATTAATGGCTTGGAAAACGGCCGTATCTTGACACACCACTTTTAATGCTCACTGGATAAATTTCCTAACAAGATATTGGATTTCAAGAAGATATTATAATCACTCCTTAAAGGCTGGAATAATATGAATGTTGCTCGCTTCGCTTGTAAAATACAAATCATGCATTAAAAGCACTAATTATAAATCTAATATTAAATCCTGTTAATTATTCGTACTTCTTTTTCATTTATTGTTCAATTTATTATTTGCATTTGAAATATTTTTCTTGTTTAGTTTTCTTATCTTCTTGTTTTAACATTCTATTAAAAGTGAAGAGAAAGAGGGAACAAGATTATAAGTGCACGAAGTAAGCGCATGAATCTTGCGAGCGATTGAACGAAACAAAATTTGGAACGAAGTGAGAGATAAAAGACCAGAAAGATAAACAACCATAAGATTTCAAGAAAATGCCAATAAAAAAGTTTTAGATTTTCAAATTTAGGAATTTCCAATATTGTAAAGTTTAAAAAGGTGTACTTCGTTCTCACCCTACGTATGATATTCACGCACTTCGTTCACTTTGTTCACTGCAATTGTTAACTAGTGTTTTCTCTTCGTAGTAATTTAGTACTGTTTTAGCGGGCACAATGTGTTCTTAATTTGTGCCCGCGTGATAAAAGCCCTAATTTTCTAATTGAATTTTCATGTTTCGTTCATATTATTCCGGCGTTTCGTGCATTTGTTTCACTTCTTGACAAACGTCGAAATAAACTTATTCTGTTATTATGTGGGTGTTAATGGTTGTTTCGAGAGCTTTTGGAAAGAACTGGATGGTGAAACAGATGTACGTCCAAAAGGTCCTTTTGACAGAGCCAAAAAATAGGTCAATGATGGAGAACCCTTGTCCGCCATTAAACTTAAGTTTTTTTTTGCTTGTGGGACCCACCATTCCGATTCTGCATAAAGTTCAATTTGGGAACATGTCGCGCCGGCTGCTGGCTCAATGTCCAGCCTGTTCCGCATCTACCGCAGCTGAGTCTGCTCAAAAGGCCCTAAATCCCCCTGAAGCCAACAACATTCGGTCAAGCCGCATCAAAGGTCAAACGAGCAAAAAGCCTCTAAAGGTTAACTTTGGAGAAATTAAGAAAAACAGCGGGCGCGGAAACTCTTGAATTGTTCCCAAACAGTGCTTGCACAATAAAGTTCTTTGTCCAGAGTAAAGAAAGCTTCACGCTCCGTTGCGTTTCGATGGCATTTCAATGGGTTCATGCAGGGGCATCCCAAGGCTTGAATGGCTAAGTGTTTCTCTTCTCTCTTGTGTTCATTTCCTCTTGCAGTCCAGGTCTTACTGCCTTCCTCCGTGATGAAACTGAATCTCTCTATGATGTGAGAAGCTTGGTAGCCAGATCATATGCCAGGTTTGAAGTCTGGGCTGCTTTGGTTGCACGTGAAGAGTGACCTGCGCTTTACTGGATTGACAATGATCCAGCCAGGTTCGCTCTGGCAAGGGGTAGCTGATTTACAGTCTTACGGCGGGTGATGAGCCCAGAGGTGGAAACGACCCCTCGTTGGAAACAGCCCGGGGCTGGAACCAGGCTGCTGCTGGAAAATACCCAGGCCCGGAACATGCCGAGAATATTTTTCACAAGCTTCTGCCTGGAACACACCCTTTGCTGGAGAATGCCTCGAGCTGGAAGAAGCCCCAGGCTAGAAAACGCCCTGGGCTGGAACCAGCCAGGGGCTGGAAAACGCCCTGGCTGGAACAAGCCCTCGGCTGGAACAAAGCCTTCTGTCTTGCGAAACCATGCAAAAGCCACAATCTCTGTTCTTTCAAGTTTTGGATGACAAAAAGCAACACTTTCAAAGCCAGCTTACCACAATACTGTCAAAACTGCTCTACCCCAACTGCAAGAGTTGATACAGCACGTTTTGTTGATCTCGAGGGCTTCGCTCTTTCAGGTTGAGGATGACAAAAAGCAACACCAGCAAACACTGCTCTTTCAAAATTCAGCCAGCATACCACAATACTCTCAATACCCCTCTGCCCTTTCAGGTTGAGGATGAAAAGAAGCAACACCAACAGGCCAAAGCCTGAAGCCTTACCGCCAGAGACTGCCCGGCCTGAAACCTTAAGTCAAAGACTGCCTAGAGCCCTAAGCCAAAAACTGCGCGGCCTGGAGCCTCAAACCAAAGACTGCCCTTAAGCCAAAGTCTTAAGCCAGAGACTGCCCAGCTTGGAGCCCTAAGCCCAAGACTGCCCAGCTCTGCAGCCTTAAGCCAAAGACTACCCGACCCTGCAGCCTTAAGCCAGAAACTGCCCGGCTTGGAGCCTTAAGGTTAGGGGTTGGGGGTGGTTCAGGTACAGGCCAGCCCGACCCCTTTACTATTCTTTCAAAACTCAGCGAGCATACCAGAAAACTGTCAAAAACGCTCTGCCCCAACTGCAAGAGTTGATACAACACGTGCTTTTTGATCTCGAGGGCTCCGTTCCTTCAGGTTTAGGATGACAAAAAGCAACACCAGCAGACGTTGCTGTTTCAAACTTCTGCCAGCATACCACAACACTGTCAAACCGTTCTGCCCCAATTGCAACTGTTGATACAACATGATTTTTTGATCTTGAGGGCTCTGTCCTTTCAGGTTTAGGATGACAAGAAGCAACACCATTGTTCAAAACTCGGCCAGCATACCAGAAAACTGTCAAAACCGCTCTCACCCAACTGCGATGTTTGATACAGCACGGTTTTTTGATCTCGAGGGCTCTGCTCTTTTCAGGTTTAGGATGACAAAAAAGCAACACCAGCAGACGTTGCTGTTTCGAACTTCTGCCAGCATACCACAACACTGTCAACTGCCCCACTTGCAATTTTTGATACAACATGTTTTTTTGATCTTGAGGGCTCTGTCCTTTCAGGTTTAGGATGACAAGAAGCAACACCATTGTTCAAAACTCGGCCAGCATACCAGAAAACTGTCAAAACCGCTCTCACCCAACTGCGATGTTTGATACAGCACGTTTTTTTGATCTCGAGGGCTCTGCTCTTTTCAGGTTTAGGATGACAAAAAAGCAACACCAGCAGACGTTGCTGTTTCGAACTTCTGCCAGCATACCACAACACTGTCAACCGCTCTGCCCCAATTGCAATTTTTGATACAACATGTTTTTTTGATCTTGAGGGCTCTGTCCTTTCAGGTTTAGGATGACAAGAAGCAACACCATTGTTCAAAACTCGGCCAGCATACCAGAAAACTGTCAAAACCGCTCTCACCCAACTGCGATGTTTGACACAGCACGGTTTTTTGATCTCGAGGGCTCTGCCCTTTTCAGGTTTAGGATGACAAAAAAGCAACACCAGCAGACGTTGCTGTTTCGAACTTCTGCCAGCATACCACAACACTGTCAAACCGCTCTGCCCCAATTGCAATTTTTGATACAACATGTTTTTTTGATCTTGAGGGCTCTGTCCTTTCAGGTTTAGGATGACAAGAAGCAGCACCATTGTTCAAAACTCGGCCAGCATATCAGAAAACTGTCAAAACCGCTCTCACCCAACTGCGATGTTTGATACAGCACGGTTTTTTGATCTCGAGGGCTCTGCTCTTTTCAGGTTTAGGATGACAAAAAAGCAACACCAGCAGACCTTGCTGTTTCGAACTTCTGCCAGCATACCACAACACTGTCAAACCGCTCTGCCCCAATTGCAATTTTTGATACAACATGTTTTTTTGATCTTGAGGGCTCTGTCCTTTCAGGTTTAGGATGAGAAGAAGCAACACCATTGTTCAAAACTCGGCCAGCATACCAGAAAACTGTCAAAACCGCTCTCACCCAACTGCGATGTTTGATACAGCACGGTTTTTTGATCTCGAGGGCTCTGCCCTTTTCAGGTTTAGGATGACAAAAAAGCAACACCAGCAGACCTTGCTGTTTCGAACTTCTGCCAGCATACCACAACACTGTCAAACCGCTCTGCCCCAATTGCAATTTTTGATACAACATGCTTTTTTGATCTTGAGGGCTCTGTTCTTTCAGGTTTAGGATGACAAGAAGCAACACCATTGTTCAAA